TTCCAAATATCTTTTCAAATTGTTGCATTAGTTTACATTCCCAAACCAGTGTACCACGGTGCCTGTTTCTCTTCCTCGCCACATTTGGTATTGTCAGTAGGTTTTTGTTTTTGCCAGATTGATGGATGCTAAATAGTATCTTGCTATTGGTTTAATTTTCTTGGCTCTGAGCAGGAGGTTCCAGGCAGTGCAGGAAGACAAGATAGAGCACCATTTCAGCATCTTTACTGACTATTCATTTTCCTTATTTTGCATATATCTTGTTTATACCTTTGTTTTCCAGCTGGATCATTTTTTTCTTATTCACGTATAAGAGTTATTGATATATTTGCACATTCTTTTCTGGGCAATATACATTATAATTATCTTCACCCTTTTTTGCCCACTCCCCCAATTTCTTTGTTATTTCCTTTTTGTTCATGAAAGTTTTAATATCTATTATTGTGAAATTTATCAGTCTTTTCCCTTATAGTTTGTCCTTTTTGGAGTCTTGTTTAAGGAATTCTTAACCCTGAGTTTATAAATAATCTCAATAGTTTTTTTTGCAGAAGTTATAAAGTTATTTTTGTTTTCGTTTTATTGCTGTTGATGTTTTACATTTAGGTCTTTGATCTACTTGGAATTTATTTTTGTGTATGGTAGGATGTAGGGATCTAGTTTCATTATTTTTCATATAGGCAATCAGTTATCCCAGCACCATATTTTTAATAGTCTATCCTTTTCCCACCTGTATCTTTGACACAAGAGAGTTTATGTGATCTCATAATACAGTTCTATTGATTTATTTGTCTTAATGACTATAGCTTTTTAGTAACTATTGATATTTAGTAGTATGAGTTATTCCACTGCACCCTTACCCCTTCTTCAGATCTTCCAAATTGTTCTGGCTATTCTTGGTCTTTGGCAGTTCCATTTAAATTTTAGGAGCAGTTTCTCAAATTCCACAAAAACCCATGTTGGGATTTTTATTTGAGTTACATTGAATTTACAAATTAATGAATTAGTTAAGCAGCTTTATTCATAATAGCCTAAAACTGGAAAGAGCCTAGTGTATATCAATAGGATAATGGATAAAATGTGGTTTATTCATACTCTGGAATACTAGTCAGCAATAAAAAGGGACAACCTGCTGATACATATAACAACATAGATGAGTCTCAAAAACATTCTTAGTGAAAGAAACCTTACACAAAGAAGTATGTAATATATGACTCCATTTATTTGAAACTCTAGAATAGGTAAAGCTAACACAGGGTTTAAAAAATCAGAATTGTGGGTATCTTTGGGAGGGAGGATGGGAACTGACTGGGAAGGGGCATGAGAGAACTTTCTGTAGTGATGGTATTATTTTATATCTTGACTAGGGGATTAGGTTTCATAGGCATATGCATTTTTTAAAATTTATTGACTGTACATTTACAGTTTGTAAATTTGATTATATTAAATTTTATCTCAAGAAAATTTGTAAACAAGTAATTGAACTCTAGCTAATGATATTGCTAATGAAGTATTTAGGGGGAAATCATACTGCAGTTTACTTTGAAAAGCATTTAAAAAACTCATTATGGGTTGATGAATGAATAGAAAGATGGACTGATACATATATTGGATAGAGTGTAGGTTTTAGATATATGAATATTCACTGTAAAAGTCTTTCAACTTTGCTATATATATTGGAAAGTTTTAATAATAAAATGGACTCCTACAGCTCAGTAGCATTAAAACAAATAACTTGATTAGAAGCTGGACAAAGACATCTCCCTAACAAAGACATACAATGAAAGTTCCAGAGAGGTGGTTTCTGAGGAAGTCAAAGAGCCCAGGGACAGAACAGTCAGGGATAGTGAATCAGGTTACATGGAAAATCAGCGTGATAGATAAATGTATGCTGTCTGTCTTGGCATTGCTGATAGGCGTTAAATTTGTACAGTGTCTCGTAACTGGTTGAGTATATTAAAATTATAAGCATAGGGTTTTATATTTTGGAGTGAAGAAATTATCTGTATTAGGGGTTTGTTTTTTTTTAAGCCAAATATTACATCTTAATAGCTTTTTATTTAAAAAATGAAAAGACACATCATACCCAGTGTGTGGCCTTTTCTCAAAATTATGGTCATTTCTCCCATTGAATTGATGACTTTTTAGATGTGGCTAAATGGGAATGAGAAAATGTATGTATAACTTTGTTTTGCATTCTTGACCTTGCCTAGTTACTTTGGAACAGCCAAGAAAATGATCAAGATTATTTTTAGGGATTATTTTACTGGGGAGTTTAAGAACTAACAGATTATTCCTAGTTCAGGCAGTGTGGAAAGGCATGCAATTGTGAAGTGTTTTGTTACAGCTTATTAATCCCTCAAGGAAATTTAGACTATAGACATAAGTACAAAGCAGGTGCAGTTTTTGTTTTCTATATGTTGTTGGATAAAATAAAATTTTATATAACAAGCATATGACCTCCCTTATTTCATGATGCCTTTATTAGGATCTGTATCAGCCCTTAATTTTGTTGAAACATTTTTCCCTCTTCCTCTTGAAAAATAAGTTCTAAAATATAATTTATTAGGACTCCCATCATTAAGAAGTTTGTTCCATTTTCACTATAAGCAGCTCACACAAGGCATAAATAATAAACACTTCATTTTAGTGTGTCATATAACTTGAGCGTATATCAAAGTAATTTTTACAAGTTTTCATCCTAAACCTCAATTCACATAATTAATAACTTGCCTGTTTTATTTATGACCCAGTTGTGATTCTTTTATTAATAAAATTAATGGAACAGAATTCTTTATTAAGTTGACGATTAGACCTACATTTAATTTTCCTGCAGTAGTTATTAGAGTATTAAAAATATGTAATGTTATATTGATAAATCTCCGCTTTAAAAGGAATACATTGTAGGATGTCATCACTTTGATGTGAATCATGTAAATGTTGATAATATGCAGTTTTTTCTACATTTACTGTTTCAAGAGAACCACTTAATTGCCTTTTTGCCCACACATATTATGTAGTCTGTTTTCTGTTGTTTTTAAAGAGTGACATTAAAAAAAATAGTTTATGTAGAGAACTATTAGTGGATATTAATTATCTCCCTGTCTGTGTTTATGGGTATTAGTTCAATTGCTTTGCTAGTTGCAAATGCATATTATCAGAATAAAAGTGTATTTGTAAACTGTGTGGGAACTAAAAATTAGGAGTATCATCAGGGAAATGCAGATCAAAACCACAATAAAATACCACTTCACACTTGTTAGGATGATGATGATGATGATGATTAAAAAATAAAGATAACCATTGGCAAGGATGTGGCGAAACTGGAACCCATGTATGCTGTTGGCAAGAATGTAAAATGGTACAACCGCCATGGAAAATATTATGAAGGTTCCTCCAAAAATAAAAAGTAGAACTATCATATTGAGTTGGCCAAAAAGTTCGTTGTTTTTTTTTTTTTTTCCTGTAAGAAAGCTCTAGTAGCACTTAGTGTCTTTAACTTCATTTGACACAATTCCATTAGATTGTATTGTGACAGTCTCCCATATCTGCATGCATTAAAAATGAAAACATCAAAATGGGTGAATTTTTGTGTAGCCATTTTGTTATTGAAAGTGGAAGAAAATATGCAACATTTCGGCATATTATGCTTTACTTTATTATTTCCAGAAAGGTAAAAATGCAACTGAAACACTAAAAAAGATTTATGCAGTGTATGGAGAAGGTGCTGTGACTGATCAAACATGTCGAAAGTGGTTTGCGAAGTTTCGTGCTGGAGATTTCTTGCTGGATGATGCTCTACAGTCGTGTAGACCAGTTAAAGTTGATAGCGATTAAATTGAGACATTGAGAACAATTAATGTTGTACCATGTGGGAGATAGCTGTCATACTCAAAATATCCAAATCAATAAAGTTATTGAAAATGAAAAATGTGTCTTATTTTACGGGAAAAACCATATGGACTTTTTGGCCAACCCAGTATGATCCAGCAACTCTACCTCTGGACATTTATTCGAAAGAATGGAAATCAGGATCTTGTAGTTATGTGCACTCTCATGTTTATATCAGCCTTATTCACAATAGCCAAGATGTGGAAATCACCTTAATGTCCATTGACAGATGAATGGATAAAGGAAATGTGACACCCACACACACTGGAAATTATTCATCTTTGAAAAAGGAAATTCGGTGACTATATGCCGCAGTGTAGGTGAACCTTGAGGGCATTATGCTAAGTGAAATAAGCCAGGTATAGATGGACAGATACTGCCTGGATTCCACTTACATGAGGTATCTAAACTAGTCAAATTCATAGAAGCAGACAGTAGAATGGTGGTTGCCAGGGACTGGGGAGTGGAAATGGGGAGTTGCTATTCAACAGGTACAGAGTTTCAGTAATGCAAGATGAGTAGTTCTAGGGATCTGCTGTACAACATTGTGCCTATGTTTAACAATACTGTATGATAAAAGGAAACGTTTTCTAATGAAGATGATACTTATCTAGATACTCCTCTTGTAGATGTTGTTGTTGGATTTCCAAATGAGTGATTATCTCTGACTTCCTTAACTTGTCCTATGTCTTGGGGTAATGGAAATATGGGCACAGGGATGGAAGTGAAATTTGAAATCTGTAATTTTTTTGTTTTGGCTCATTTCCTGTCAATGCTGCAATTATACCCAGCACCTCTGAGAACATTTGCTTAACAGTATGGGCCTGATGGCAAAACAGAACAAAAATATTATTAAAAATTCAAGCTGGTGTGTGTTGGGGAGGTTTGTCATTCACTTTTTTAAAAGATTAATTTTTAAGTCTTTTTAGTAAATTAAAATATGGTTCATGTTGAACAATAGTGAAATATATTGATAATATCAGGAACCCTTTATATTTATTGATAACATAGGAGGAAATAAATGCTACCTTTTTTGTACCTTTAATTGTGTTCTGTCTTCTCATACAGTTAAAAGGCTCTGCCTAATCCTAGCACATACATTGTTATTTCAGGTCCTGTGGGAATGGCCGCTGCTGCTGCTGTGGCAACAGGAAAGAAACGGAAACGGCCTCATGTGTTTGAGTCTAATCCATCTATCCGGAAGAGACAGCAAACACGTTTGCTTCGGTGAGAGCATTTTTATCCATATTGTTGCTATTTCGCAAATATTTCATGGTGTGGATGACACAGAACATACATTATTAGGTTTACCATAGATAACAAGTTAGATCCCTTGATGACAGAAATAGACTTTAAAGTATTCTTATAAAATTAAATAAATGCACCAGAAATATGAGTAACAGATGTATAATATCACATTAATTAATTCATAGAAAATCTATATGTCTGCTATGTGCCAGGCGTTGTTCTAGGCCTCGGGAATATAATAGTGAACAAAACAAATTCCATTAAAGAGCTTTTATTCTAGTGAAGGGAAAAAGAAAATAAACAAATATGTAATATTTCAGATGATGATAAGAGTTATGGAAGAAAATAAAATGGAGTAAGGAAAACAGAAAGTTTAGGGGATAGCAGGAATATAGTGGTTTCTCTTTTTTTATAGGGATGGTCTGGGAAATCCTCTTTGATAAGACAACCTTTGAACAGAGACCTGAAGTAAGTGAAAAGGCAACTGTGTCAATAACTAGGGGAAGAGCTTTTCCCCTAGGGAAATAGGAAGTAGCAAGAGGAAAGGTTCTGAAGTGGGCAAGAACGTGGTAGTCATATTTGAGGAACAGCTAAGGAGAGAGTGAGAGGAGATGTGGTCAGTAGTAGTGGAGAGCCACACCATGAGGTCTTTTGGTCTGATATGGGGGGCTTTGACTTTGACTCTGAATGAGGTTGGAAGTCAGTGAAGGCTTTTGACCAAAGCATGTATGATCTGACTTAAATTTTAAAAGGATAATGCAGACTACTGTATGCACAGTAGAACTTGGGAGTATTAAGAATGGAAGCAGGGAGACCAGTTAGGAAGTTAACATAGTAATCCAGGCAAGAAATGATAGTGTCCTAAAGCTGATGTAGCAGCAGCATAGGTGGTAAGAGGTGGTCAGGTTCTGGTTGTATTTTAAAAGTCAGCTCCAGCATGATTCGTTGATGGATTGGATGTGGGATATGAGAGGGAAAAAGGACTGAAGGCTGACCTCAAGGTTTTTGTTCTGATTATAAGAAGGATTGAGATGATGCTGGGAGAGGAGAGGCATGGGAGTTGGGGCAGAATCAGGAATTTGGTTTTGGTTAAGTTAATGATACTTCTTAACCATTAAGTCAAGGTACAGAGTAAGGAGTTGGATTATATGAGTCTGGAATTCAAAGGTGATATCTTAGCTGAAGATACAAGCAGTATAAGCAGTATTTAAAACTATGAGACTGAAAGAGATCACCTAAAGAGTGAGTGTGGATTTAGACCTGAAGCACTCTACCATTTAGTGGTTGGAGAGGTGAAGGAAACTAGCAAAAGGAGTCTAAGAAGCAACCAGGAGGAAAACCAAGAGAGTGGTATCCTGGAAACCGAGTACAAAAAGTGTTTCGAGAAAGAGGGTGTGTGATCATCTCTGTCAAAAGCTGCTGACAGATTGAATAAGATGCAAATTGACCTTTAGGTTTAGCAACATGGAGGTTATGTTTGAACTTGACAGGGACATTTTCAAAAGAGTGGTGAGGATGAAGGGATTGGAGTGTCTTCAAGGAGAATGGAAAGAGAGGAATTGGAGACAGTGAATATAATGTAGACCATTCCTTCAAGGAGTGCCACCAAATTTCTTGGTTGGTATGTTGTCTTATGCTCATTTTTATTTCTTCTGAAGAGTTTATAGGTGACAAAGAAAGATTAGTATATTAAGTGTGCTACATGGAGGACTTAATAGTTTGATAGGTTGTATAACATTTATTCATTTATGATAAGACATTTATAAAACATTCCACAGGTTTTTTCTTACACTGTTTTAAATATTATATCCAAAATTTCTAGTGTTTATTAGGATATTGATTCCAAGTGGAATGCTAGCACCTGTAAATGATACATGAAAAAAGCTAGAAAACATAGTCTAGATTCAGAACATAAGACAATTATAAAAAACTACTGAGAAAACTTGAAAAGTGCTTAAAAATAGCTTCAGCACCAGAGAGCTTATATACCACTAGATGGGTAGTTCTTCTCATTAATGATAGTACAACCAGGAGGAACTAGAATGTATTATTTATAGAAGTACAAGTGTATTTGCTATAAGGGATATAGACACAGCAGTACATGCTTTTGGAGAAAAATAGAAAACTTTACTTTAGATGTTTTGGCTTCACTTCATTTGACTTGGCATGACTCGCCAGTCCCTTGAAAGGGTACACTAACGTATCTAATTAAAGAGTCTTGAGTCAAAGTAAATTCTGTGTCTGTGTCAGTCACTGTAATTTTTCTCTTTTTTAACTGATTTTATTCTCTTTTCATTCTCTGATTCAGGAAACTTCGAGCAACATTAGATGAATATACTACTCGAGTGGGACAGCAAGCTATTGTCCTCTGTATCTCGCCCTCCAAACCCAACCCTGTCTTTAAAGTGTTTGGTGCAGCACCTCTGGAGAATGTGGTAAGAGAACTGGGCTGTGTCCTCAGATACCCCTTGCTTTCTGTGGGTTGTCATTCCCATTCTTGTGGTCTTCTGTATAGTGTGACAGTTGCCACTGTCCTCCTCTCATCCAGGATGGGAGTGGGCAGTGGGGTTTTCAAACGACTTTATACAGATTAAAATAAAAATGGTTATTTCTGTTTCTGCTTCCTATAACAAGGTATTTTACCTCACCAGATGCAATGGAAGAAAAATGGTGGTGTATTTGTTAAGAAGCCAATGCAGAATTTTGTAAGAAAATTGCTGATTTATGTCAGAAACAAAATGGTAGATAATTCTAAGATGTAAACTTCATGAGGCAAAGCTAGGAGCATTTTATTCATTACTGATATTTTGAGTTGTATATTTAAAATCTCTTACATTTAAAGATTCGACTTAACACTGCTTTAGCTTTGAAATATAGTTAAATATTTGGATGGTATACCTGTCCATAGATAACCGAATAAAAATATTATTTACTTATATTATGTGAACTGCTCTTTCTCTGACCAGAATAACTTTGAATCATTAGTAGAATAAGGATCTGTCCAGATTTAAATTGAATATTGTTTTTATAAGGATAAAGTTTATTCCCATAAAATGACATTTATTAGATATCTCCCGTATTGAATGTAGACATTTCAAGGATTCAGAGTTAGTAATTATCTGAGATTTTGTTACTTGTATTGCCTTTCTTATTCATACATATGGTATTGTGGTTCTTAACGTTTTGAGGTTTCCCCAGAATTATGGAGGCCCTAGTATAGGATGCAAATGAGAGCCTTTCCTTAGAGGAATATGGTAGAAAGCGTCTAGTTCAAAAATGGTACCCGACAAGTAGTTTTTAGTGTCAAACTGTTGATAGACATGAAATCTGGGCATATCTTCTCTTCTTCAGTATTAACAATTTTAAATATTATACTACTGATGTGATCTATTAAAAAGACTCACCTAGAAGACTCAAAAATACTTCTGAAAATTACGCACTGAAAAATCCAAAAGAAAGTTTTAGGAGACTATTGGAATTATCCATAGAATACAAAAAGATAGAACATTTTATCAAACAAGAATAAACAGTCATATGATAGACTAGACTGAGACAAAAAGGAGCAGTTTTCTTTTGACTGACATTTGATAAGTATGGCTAAAGAATAAATACCAATAGAATAAGAAGCAGAATATGTCTTCTGGAGTAGTAAAGAGGAAAACAGAAAACCCAAGGCTATATATAAAAGATAGAAAACATGGGAAGGCATTAAAAACAAAATAAAACAAAGTATAGAACAAAGTAATAAAAGTAAGACTAATTAATTCTGTTATAAATCATAAATATAAATGAGCTAAACTCCCTTGTTAAAGACAAAGATTTCCTTTCAGATTGGAATAACTATCCTAATCAAAACCCAACTCTGTTTAATTTATGTAGCATATTTATAGTTACTAACAAATGTTCAAAGTAGCTGCAAGTGATATCACTAAGAAAGTGAAAAGATTCCACAGAATAGGAGGAAATATTTGCAAGTCATACATCTGGTAAAGGACTTGTATCCAGAATATGTAAAGAACTCTCATAACTCAACAATAAAAAGACAGATATTCCAATTTTAAAATGTCAAAGAATCTGAGATATTTCTTCAAAGAAGGTAAAGAAATGGACAGCAAGCACATGATCAGTAATAATGAATAATCATTAATCACTAGGGAAATGAAAATCCAAACCACAGTGAGATACCACTTCACACTCATTAGGATGACTGTGGTCAAAAGGATGGACAATAATAAGCGCTGATAAGGATGTGGAGAAATTGGAACCCTCATGCATTGCTGTTGAGAATGTAGAGTGCTGTAGGTACTTTGGAAAACAGTTTGGTAATTTCTCAAAATGTTAAAAGTAGAGTTGTCAGATGACTCAGCAATCCTACTCCTAGGTTTACCCAAAAGAACTAAAAAGAAAACTTCTGCACACAATGTTCATAGCAGCAAAGCTTACACACAAAAACTTAAACACAATAGTCATAGAATTTTCATAATAGCAGCATTTTCATAACAGCCACAAAGTAGAAACAACCCAGATGTCCATCAACTGAACAATAGATAAATAAAATGTACTCTTACTCATATAATAGAATATTAATCAGCAATAAAAAGTATTCAAGTCTTGATAAATACTACAGTATATTGAACCCTGTAAACATTGTGCTAAGTGAAAGAACCTAGACACAAAACACCACATATTGTAAGATTCCATTTATATGTAATGCCCAGAATAGACAAATCTCTAGAGATGGAAAGTTGCGTAGCAGTTACCAGGTTGGAGAAGGGGCAGGGAGGGATGAGGAATTGCAGCCAGTGAGTATGGAGTTTCTTCTAGGGGGGATGAAAATGTTCTAAAATTAGATTATGATGACGATTGCGTATCCTACAAATAAAGACTAAATTGTACACTTTAAATGGGTGAAATAAATGGTGCGGTAGGCTGACTACGGGGTGGAGCAAAAGTAGGTTTACAGTTGTAAGTATGCAAAGCACAATTTATTCTTGTATTATATTTATTAATTATTGTAGTATTTTCCATACGCATGGCTGTAAACCTACTTTTGTCCCATCCTATAATGGCCCCCATAGATATCCAGGTCCAATTCCTAGAACCTTTGAGTGTTGCCTTATGGGACAAAAACTTTGTGGGCGTGATTAAATTAAGGATTTTGCAATGGGGAGATTGCCCTGAATTATCAAGGTAGGCCCTAAAGCTATCACAGTGTCTTTCTTATTGATTGATTGATTGATTGATTTTTTTTTTTCAATTGAATTTATTGACCTGACATTGGTTAATAAAATTATAGGTTTCAGGTATATAATTCTGTATCATCTGTGTATTCTATTTTGTGTTTACCACCCCAAGTCAAGTCTCCTTTCCATCATATCACATCTTTGTTTTGTTTTGCTTAAAGATTTTACTTATTTTTAGAGGGAGGGAAAAATAAGGAGAGAAATGTTGATGCAAAGAGAAACATTGATTGGGCATATCTTCACATGTGCCCTCACTGAGGACTGAACTTGCAACCTAGGCATGTGCTCTGACCAGGAATTGAAATGGTGACCTTTTGACTTGTGGGACAACACCCAACCAACTGAGCCACATGGGTCAGGAATATCATAGTATCTCTTTATAAGAGCGAGACAGATTGATATAGTTGGAGGCAATGCGTTGGTAAAAACAGGAGGCTGGATGTAAAGAAAGAGTCAGGAACCAAGGAATATAGGCTAAATAGCAGCTAGTCAAGACAAGGAAATGGATTCTTTTCTAGAACTTCTAGAAGGACCAGCCCTGCCAACAACCTTGTCTTTAGCCCAGTGAAACTAAAGAGAATGGACTTCTGTTGTTTTTAAGCCACTGAGATTGTGATACATTGTGGCAGCACTAGGAAACTCATATGTGTGGGATGTGAATTCTCTCTTAATAAAGCTGTTAAAAATGTTAAAAGTAAAAAGGTATGTCAGACAAATACCTAGAAAAATGAATCATGGATTGCAGTGTTAATACCAGACAAAGCCAAATGCTCAAGACAAATGAGTATTAACTGAGAACCAGAGGTCATTTAGTATTGATAAGCAGCATAAATTTATAATGAACCTTTTATGCCTCAAGTAACATTAAAGCAAAGCACGTACATTAAAAAGTTAGAAATGTTAAAAAAAAAAAAAAAAACTAGAAAGAAACCACAATGGTGGTAGTAGTAGATTTTAATATCTTTGTCAGATCAAGGAAGAAAAATATAAATAAGAATATAGAGATCTGAATAATGGAACTAATATGGTTAATATAAAAGATATCTGCCCTGGATGGTGTGGCTCAGTGGATTGAATGCCAGCCTGCAAACTGAGGGGTCACTAGTTCGATTCCCATCTTGGGGCACATGCCTGGGTTGACAGCTGGGTCCCCAGTTGGGGGCGTCAAGAGGCAACTGATTGCTGTCTCTAGCACGTCGTTATTTATCTCCCTCTCTTTCTCCCTGCCATCCCCTCTCTCTAAAAATGAATAAATAAAATCCTTAAAAAAATAAAAAAAGATATCTGTACTACCATTAATACCTTACAAGGGGAGAATGTACCATATTTGAAAAACTACATGAATGGCTATGGATTATAGTGACCATGTGTTATTAGTAAACCCCAAAGAAGATGTTAATTGTAAAATGTAGAAATTCCACAGGCCATATTTTTTAGCATAGTACAGAAAATTTAGAACTTAATGTCAAAGCATTGACAGGCCCTGGTCAGGTGGCTCAGATGGTTGGAACATCATCCTGTACACCAAAAGGTTTCTGGTTTTTTCCAGTCAGGGGCACATACGTAAGTTGTGGGTTCCATCCTTGGTCTGACGCATGCAGTGGGCAACTGATCCATGTTTCTCTCTCATATCAGTGTTTCTCTCTCTCTTCCTTTCTCTCTAAAATTAATTAAGAAAAAAATATCCTTGCCCTGGCTGGTGTACCAAAAAACATAATTATGTTTTTTGTTTTTCCTTTATTTCCTTTTTATTGAACTTATTGGGGTGACACTGATTAACAAAATTGTACAGGTTTCAGATGCACAATTCCATATAAATCATCATCTGTACACTGTATTGTGTGTTCATCACCCATGTCAAGTGTTCATCACCATTTATTCCCCCTCTACCCTCCTCCTCCTCCTCTCCCTACTCCCCCTCTCCCTACTCCCCCTGTAGTCACACAGGGTTGTCCATGTCCATGAGCTTTTGCTCTTTTTTTTTCCCTCTTTTGCTCAATCCCTCTACCCCCAACACCCAGCCCCTAGCACCTCCCCCCAAGAGCTGTCAGCCTGTTCTCTATGAGTCTTCTCTATTTTGCTTATTAATTTTGTTCATTAGTTTCCACATATGAATGAAGTCATATGGTATTTGTCTTTCTCTGACTGGCTTATTTCATTTAGCATAATGTTCTCCAGGTCCATCCATACTGTTGCAAAGAGCTAGATTTCCTTCTTTCTTTTTTTTTTTTACAGCCAAGTAGTATTCCACTGTGTAAATGTACTTTTTTATCCACTCATATACTTATGGACACTTGGGCTGCTTCCAAATCTTGCCTATTGTAAACAGTGCTGCAGTGAACATAAAGGTGCATATATTCTTTCAAATTAGTATTTTTGGTTCCTTTGGATGTATTCTCAGAAGTGGAAACGCTGGGTCATAAGACAGTTTCATTTTTAATTTTTTGAAGTATCTCCATACTGCTGTCCACAGTGGCTGCACCAGTCTGCATTCCCTCCAGCCGTGCAAAAGGATTCCTCTTTCTCCACATCCTCACCAGCACTTGTTGTTTGTTGATTTATTGGTGTTAGCCATTCTGACAGGTGTGAGGTGATAGCTCATTGTGGTTTTAATTTGCATTTCTCCAATGATTAGTGATGTTGAGCATCTTTTCATATGTGTATTGACCATCTCTATGCACTCTGTGGAGAAGTATCTATTCAGGTCCTCTTCCTATTTTTTAATTGGATTGGTTGTTTGTTTTGTTTTTGGTGTTGAGTTGCATAAGGTCTTTTTAAACTTTGTATATTGACACCTAATTGGATATATTGGCAAAGAACAGAAAGGAAAAATAATGATGGTGTCTGGATGGCTTCATGAAGTCATCATTATTCTCTTCCTTTTTGCTTTTCAGGATCTGCCTTTTGACCCAGTGATCCCACTTCTGGGAATATATTCAAAGGAAACCAAAACACTAATTTAAAAAAACATAAGCCCCCTTATATTCATTACAGCATTATTTACAATTGCCAAGATATGGAAGCAGCCCAAGTGTCCATCAGTAAATGAGTGGATAAAACAACTATGGGACATTTACACACTGGATACTACTTGGCCATTAAAAAAAAAGAAAATTTTATCCTTTGCAACAGTATGGATGGATCTGGAGAATATTATACTATGTGAGATAAGCCAGTCAGAGAAAGACAAATATCATATGATTTCACTTGTGGAATCTAATGAACAAACTGAACTAACAAAGAACATGGGGACAGGCTCATAGATGGAGAACAGGATGACAGCTAGTTGGGGAGGGATTGAGCAATAGGAAAAAGGACTCATGGACATGGACAGCAGTGTGGTGATTGCTGGGGGAGGGGAATGTAAGGGAACTAAATGGTGACGAAAAAATAACAAGATTAAATTTAAAAAATAGATTATTGAAGACTCAGATGTTAGAGTTGAAGTCATAAACCTCCTAGAAGAAAACAAAACACAGACAGTAAAATCTCTGGCATTTCTCTTAGCAGTATTTTTTCTGATAGATCTCTTCAGGCAAAGGAAACAAAAGAAAAAAGAAACAAATGGGACTACATTAAACTAAGAAGTTTTTGCACAGCAGAGGAAATCATCAACAAAACAAAGAGACAACTTACTGAATTAGAAAAGATATTCACCAATGATACATACAATCAGAGGTTAATATCCAAAATTTATAAAGAACTCATACAACGGGGGGAAAAATCCAATTAAAAGATGGGAAGAGAACCTGAATAGACAAAGAGGTTATACAGATGGACGATAGACCTGAAAAGATACTCAGCATCACAAATCATCAGATAAATGCAAATTAAAATCACTCTGAGATATCACCTCACACGTGTGAGAATGGCTATCATCAGTAAATGAACGAATGTGTCAGTGGTGATGTGTAGAAAGGGGAACTGTTGGTGGGAGTACAGATTGATGCAGCCGCTATGGAACAGCATGGAGGTTCTTCACAAAATTTAAAATGGAACTGCCTTATGACCCAGTGATTCCACTTCTGGGTATATATCCAGATAAACCCAAAACACTAATTTGAAAGAATCTATGCACCCTTATATTTATTGCATTGTTATTTACAATAGCCAAGAATCAGAAGCAACCCAAGTGCCTATCAGTAGATAAATAGATAAAAAATGGTAGTACACATATATACAATGGAATATTACTCAGCCATAAAAAAGAATGAAATCTTACCATTTGTGGCAGCATGGATAGACCTGGAAGGTATTACACTAAGTGAAATAAGTCAGACATAGAAAGACAAATACCATATGATTTCATTTATATATAGAATCTAAAGAGCAAAATAAGCAAACAAACAAACTAGAAACAGACTCATAGATGCAGGTGATAGTTGCCAGAGGCAAGAAGAATAGGGGGTTGGGTGAAAAGGAAAAAGGAATTAAGGAATACAGAGTGGTAGTCACAAAATAGTCACGGGTATATAAAGTACAGCATAGGGAATATAGTCAGTAATATTGTAATAGCTCCATATAATGCCTGGTGGGTACCTGAAATATTGGGAGACCACTTTGTAAAGTATATGATTGTCTAACCACAATGCTGTACAACTGAAACTAATACAAAATAATATTGAATGTAAACTGTAATTGAAAAAATTTTTAATTAAAAAAAAAAAAACAATACATGCTCTCCAGACCAGTCTGACTCGGTTGGGCGTTGTTCTATATAAAGCAAAAGGTCACTGATTCAGTTCCAGGTCAGGGCATATGCCTGGGTTGTAGGTTAAGTCCCCAGTTGGGGCATGCACAAGAGGCAACCAGTCGATGTTTCTTTCACATCAATGTTTCTCTCTCTCTCTGTCTCTCTCTCATCACCTCCTCTTCCCCTCTCCCTAAAAATAAATAAATAAAAATAAAAAATACTGTGGTCATACCTGAAATTATTTTGTTGTAAATTACCTGCTCTACCAGCATTTTTTTTTTAATCAGAAGACATTTTTAAGGAATTATATAGCACTGATAAGTTTAACTAAATGCCTGGATATGAATCCCTGGAATTTACTTACCCATAACAATGCATGAAATTGTTTGAAACTAGCTAATTATTAATATATAGTAATAATCAAATGATATTCTGTCTTCAAATGCCCAGTATATTCAGCACAATGAAATTTATTTGTATACTATTATCATTTACTCCTTATATGGGCCTACAACATACTAATATAATGATTTAACCTGATAAATTAAAATTCAAGGACCAGAACCTAGGCTTATAAGATTCAGTTTTTCTGTGGGTTGGTTGTGTAAAAACTGTACTTGGGATACAGAAACCTAGAAAGCAGAAAATATAAATCTTTAAAGTTGCCATGGCAGCACCAGCTACTTATGGTAAATAATTTGGTAAAAATTTTTGAAACTTTCTTTTTAACTAGCAACCATGATAAAACTCAATTTCTAGAGTGATAATGATTCTACATGTTTGCACAATTTTTCTTTTATGCATTTTTTGGCTGACCTACTTGGAAGGTTTTATAACTACAAAGGTTGTACTTCATGGCCAGAAATAATTTTTACTTTTTCACATACTTGAGGTGGAGTGTGGGAATCTTTGTTTTTTAATCCTGATAATGAGATACTTAGAAGGAGGCATGTCTGCCCAATTGAGAGTCCAGTCCACTTAGCAGAAAACCCAGGACTCAAACATTGTTGTAACTTCTGGACAAACCTCATTTTTCTTTTCCCTTTTTTTCCCTAAATTTATGGCTTGAGACCCGAATGCAAGTTTATTTTCTATTCCATGTTGTTACATTTTCATAATTCCACAGCTTCCTTGTTATCCCCAAAGGTTTTCTCATCCCCTTGTGCATTCTTGTAAGTGAATGAACCTATTATTGGTGGTTATAGGATCCATTGTCTCTCTACTGTTTCTGTTCATGATAGAAGAATGTGTGCGTGTACAAATGTGCTGCTTAGTCCTCCGTCTTTAGAGAGACCTTTCATTAGCAGTGGAAAGAATGGACTCAGAACAATATCTGGTTCAGACCTGGTCTTGTTGGAGCCACAGAGGGGCATCATGGGTTTGAACTTCACCCCTGTCACCGGGGAGTACCAGAAAGGAGGGGGATCTGACCTGTGGGGTCTCTGGTTGTGGGCCTTACTCATACTGGCACTTTGACACCCAGCTACAGTAATCACCTTTTGTTTTGTTTTTCCTCTGATGCTTTTCAGTCCAGCCTCTTGTTCACTTGAATCTCAAATCTGTTTGGTAGTCTGGCTTTGCAGGAAATTAACAGAAGTTTTAGAGACAAGTTTTTGGTGATCTTGAAAATGACTTTGGCATTTAACTGAGATTTTAACGTTTAACGAGGTTTTATCAAATGGCCTGGGAAATGCTGTATAATGAATGCCATTCCTATTAGATCTGGAGCTGGCAATAGGGCCAGCATTGATACAAAATGTGATTTTAACTGAGAAGCAGTATTTCTGTAAGGCATTTCCATTGGCTCCTTTCTACTGTTGTTGCCTGTAATTGCATCATCTTTTCTATTAATTCTGTGTAGTGTAATGTCTTTGGGGCCAATGGGTATTTTTATCGGCTACTTGTAGAAGAGTTTGTTCATAGGGCTTTATAATGGCTGAGAGAGGCCAGCCCCACCCACTCGCTGGTTGCCTAGCACCAACCCTCCCTGGTTTTTGGGCATCTTGTTTACTTCTGCCCTTAATTCCCTGCAGGTGCGTAAGTACAAGAGCATGATCCTGGAAGACCTGGAGTCCGCCCTGGCAGAACACGCCCCTGTGCCACAGGAGGTTAACTCAGAGCTGCCGCCTCTCACCATCGATGGAATTCCAGTCTCTGTGGACAAAATGACCCAGGTAAGGGGCGGGAAGTGAGGAGGAGACACGAAGACAAGTGGCACAGGTGTGGGTGGGCCTTGGATACCTTTTTTTAGTTTTGTGCTCAGTGATACCACCAGAGTGAGATGCAGTCTGGAGTTTATAGTAAAACAGGAGAAGCCTTGGAAAAGAAAATGTCATGCCAGAAAAAGTGCTTCCCACCAGGGGCATGGATGTGGTTTCCTACTTTTGTGGGTAGTTTTTACTTTCACTTGGGCCCTTGGGTGAGCTGAAGAAACTTTTAGTTTGGAGTTGGTTTGGAAAGGAGACTGTTAGGACTTTGATGAATCACAGTCAAATGGGGCAAACAAATGTTTAGTTTCTTTTGGGATGAGCTGCTCCTCTGTCCATGTAAGTTCTGAATCCCACCACACTGCTGTGAAGGACGTCTCCCCTCTCTGGGGACGGAGGTTGGAAAGCTCAGGAAGACGCCTTACTGAGTCATTGCTCCCCTCTCCCTTTTAGAAGGGAAGTCACAAATGTTCTTAGCTGATAAATCAGTATACATTAGGAATTTTGCTGACAGTTTCTTTGAAAATTTTTGGCTTTGAAAATGATAACTTAATCAAAAGCAAATGCCTTTTTATAACATTTTCTCACCTCATTTATTTATTAATATACTTTATTTTGCTAAATCCAGTTGTGAGTTTTCTTTCCTTTTCCAGTCTTCCAGCAGCATTTAACACAAGTTGATTAACTTTCTTTGTGTGTCTGTGACCCATACTCTCCTGAATATCTTCTTACTTCAGTGGATCGTCCCTCTCAGCTCTTTTGCTGGATTCTCTTCCTCTTGAATAGAACCTGGGGATTTTGACATGTCCCAGGGTTCTACCTTTAGTTTCTTTCCTAGTGGTCTCATCCAGTCCTGTGGACTTTATATCCCATCTTCATGCTGTTTGTACCCCAGTGTATACCACTGTTAGATCCTCAATATGAACATACCCAAAACAGAACCTTTGAATACCCCCACTCCGCTGTCTACTCCAAATGGTGTCAGTTGATGGCTCCATTGTCCATCTGGTTACTCAGGTCCCATGATAGAGATAAATCCTTGATTTCCCTGTTTTGCATTTACTCCCCCACCAACCACATCTAATTCATTAGCAAAACATGTTAGTTCATCTCTAAAATGTACCCTGAATCTAACCATTCTTCTCAGTTCCCATCATACCCTAGCCCAAGCCTTTAGCATCTCTCACAGAGACTATTTCAGTTGATCAGTTCTATTGATCTTACTGCCACTCTTGCTGTAGATGCAGAAAAAAGCCTTTGATAAAATCCAGTACCCATTTCTAAAAACTGTCAACAAAGAGAATAGAGGAGCATACTTCAACCTAATAAAGGCCATATATAACACACCCACTGCCAGCATCATACTCAATGGGCAAAAATTACATGTGTTTCCCTTCAGTTCAGGAACAGGACAGGGATGTCCACTTTCTCCACTCTTATTCAACATAGTACTGGAAATCCCAGCCACAGCCATCAGACAAGAAAAAGGGGAAAAAAGCATTCAAACTGGAAAGGAAGAAGTAAAACTGTCATTATTTGCAGATGACATGTTGCTGTACATAGAGAACTGTTAAAGATTCCACCAAAAAACTACTAGAACTGATAAATGGATTCAGAAAAGTAGCAGGATACAAAATAAATATCCAGAAATCAGTTGGATTTTTATACACAAATAATGAACTATCAGAGAGGGAGACAAAGGAAACTATCCTATTCACAGTTGCTTAAAAAACAAAAACAAACAAACAAAAAAACCTAGGAATAAATTTAACCAAGGACGTAAAAGACCTGTACTCAGAAAATTATAAGACACTGAAGAAAGAAATTGAAGAACATACAAATTAGTGAAAGTATATACTGTGCTTATTGATAGGAAGAATTATCCATACTACCCAAAGCAATCTATAGATTCAGTGTAATTCTCATCAAGATACCAATGGCATTTCCACAGAACTAGAACAAATATTCCAAAAATTTATATGGAACCACAAAAGATCCTGAATAGCCACAGCAATCTTGAGAAAGAAGAACTGTTGGAGGAATCCTGCTACATGATATCAAACTATAGTAAAAGGCCATAGTAATCAAAACAGCATGGTACTGGCATAAAAACAGGCATATAGATCAATGGAACAGAATAGAGAGCCCAGAACTAAACACATGCTTTTATAGTCAATTACTATTTGACAAAGGAGGCAAGAACATACAATGTGGTAAAGATAGTCTAGTCAATAAATGGTGTTGGGAAAATTGGACACATACATGCAAAAAAATGAAATTAGACCACCTTCTTATACTGTACACAAGAATAAACTCAAAATGGATTATTAAAGACTTAAGTATTGGACTCAAAACTGTAGAACTCCTAGAAGAAAACAGGTAGTAAAATCTCTGACATTTCTCTTAGCAATATTTTTTTCTGATATATCTTCTTCACACAAGGGAAACAATAAACAAATGGGACTACATTAAACTAAAAAACTTTTGCACAGTGAAGGAAACTATCAACGAAATGAAAAGACAACTTACTGAATGAGAGAAGATATTCACCAGTGGTATATCCAATTAGGTGTTAATACCCAAAGTTTATTAAAAAACTTATATAACTCAACACCAAAAAAAATCCAATTAAAAAATGGGAAGAAGACCCGAATAGACACTTCTCTAAAGGGGGCATACAGATGACCAATAAACATATGAAAAGATGTTCAGCATCACTAATAATCAGAAATGCAAATCAAAACCACAATGAGATATTACCTCATACCTGTCAATATCTATTGTCAATAAATCAACAAGTCTTGCCAAGGATATGGAGAAAAGGGAACCCTCATGCAATGTTGGTGGGAATGTAGATTGGTGCAACCACTGTGGAAGACAGTATAGAGTTTCTTTTAAATATTAAAAATGGAACTGTCTTATTACCCAGCAATTCTACTTCTGGGAATTTATCCAGAGAAACCCAAAACACTAATTTGAAAGCATATACACACCCCTATGTTTATTGCACTGTTATTTACAATAGGCAAGATTTGGAAGCAGCCCAAGCATCTGTCATAGATAAAACAGCAGTGGTACAGCTCTGGGCTGATGGTTCAGTTGGTTGGAACATCTCCCTGTACACCAAAAGGTCAAGGTTTTGATTTCTGGTCAGGGATAGCCCTGAGGTTGCAGGTTTGATCCCCAGTTGGGCCATATATGGGAAGCAACTGATGGATATTTCTCTCTCACATTAGTGTTTTTTTTTTTTTCTCTCTCTGTACTCCCCCCCACCCCTTAAAATCAATAGATGTGTTGTAGAGTGAGGAGTAAGGAGGGTGCGTTGTGGTACATTTACATAATGGAATAATACGTGGCCATAAAAAAATAAGGAAATCTTCCCCTTTGCAACAGTATGGTTGGACTTGGAGAACATTATGCTAAGTAAAATAAGCCAGTCAGACAAAGACAAATACCATATGATTTTACTCATTGTAGAATCTAATGAACAAAATGAACTAACAAGCAAAATAGAGACAGATTCATAGATAGCAGCTGACAGCTGTCAGGTAGGATTGAGGGGGTGAAGGGATTGAGCGAAAAAGAGACCACTCATGGGCATGGACAGCACTGAGGTGACTGCCAGCGGTGGGGGGAGTGGAGGAGGGTTTGGGGGGATAATTGGTGATAAAGACTTGATTTGGGGTGATGAATACACAACACAGTGAATGGATGTTGTATTGTGGAATTGTGTACTTGAAACTTGTATAATTTTGTTAACCAGTGTCACTGCAATAAATTCAATAAAAAGGAAAACAATGAAAATTGTTTTCCATTTCTGTGAAGTATGCATTTAGTAGAGCTTGGTTTAGTGGGGGATCCAAGGAACATGGTACTCAAGTCATGGATAAGGCTGAGAGGTACTTCTTTGGAGGCATCAATTTTCTTTATTGTCATGCATTCTCCGCTGTCCCTTCTCACCACAGATGATGACTGAGGAATGACACATAACTGAACGAAAAACCCCAATCAAACAAATGGCGAAGGGAGTGAGCAGGATGATGAAACACTGAGCTCCCAATCAAATGGGAATTTCTGAACATTGATTTTCAGATCCCTAGGTTTTTTTCCCTCACCTTTTTTTTTTAAAATTGTGTTTTATTTTCTTTTCCTTGGATACTTTCTTCTTAATATAGCCAAATAACACCCCTCCCCCCCATTGATGGCAGTGAATGCAGGGTTTTATTTCAAACCAAACCTAATAGGAAAGGATATGGAAATACAAGCACTTTAATACACTCAACAGGAATATACATTGCTACAAGTTTTCCAGAGGACAGGTTGGTTATGCATATCATAACTTAAAATGGTAAACGAAGAGTTAATTTCATGGCATTGTAATTTACAGTAGGAAAATCTGGGGACAGTGGGATTGAATAAATTATAGTAGCTGTCCTTGGAATTTACATAGAAAGAAGGGCAACTTAACCCAAAAGACTACAAGTTTACCTTTAGGGAAATAATAGACCTAAAAATGATTATTTGCTCTGTATTGCAGTGGACTTACACTTGTGGTATCTTAAGTTAAAAACAGATTGTAGAATAACATTTCTTTTGTACTCTAATGAAGGGTTTAGGGCTTTATATTTTTTGTTTCTTTTTGGAGGGACTAGAATTTTCTTTTAAGGGAATACATAATTGAGTTAATGGATCTTATTTGTTTAAAATATGCACAATTTGCCTGTGCGTGTGTCATTGTGTACAAATTTAGAAGGATGTATGCCAAAGCAATAACAATGATTATTGTATCTTGCTATGTATGATGTGCACCCACATTTTGTGCCTATTATACATGGCACAATATGGTATCTATGCATGATGCATTTTGGGTGATTTTCTTTCTTTTTTTTTCTTTTTGGTCTAATAAGCTTTTATAACCATAGAAACAAAAAAACTATTTTCATTTCTGTATTTAACTTAAATTTTTC